TTCTCATGTAGTAATCCAAGATTACTAAAAACCAAGTCAATTATCAGTATAATTTGAGAGAGGGCTAACAGTAATAATATGTCAAAATAAAATAAAGTCACCATAGTGAATTAAACACATCAAAATAATGTATACACTGAAAGGGAATTGCAGAATATTTAGGTTTGCAAAGTTTTTTATTGATGACTAAAAACTGCAGAAGGGTGGCAAAGCAGTTCCCACTTGGGTTGTTTTATTCTATTTATTAGGATCAGCTCCTTAGTTCTCCCACCAAAAAATGGTAATAATATCTTCTTTTTCTATCTCAGATCTGTTATAATGGAAAACTCTGAAAACCACAGAATATCCATAAAAATTGATGTTACTGAATTTACAATATTTATCTTTGCATATTTCATAGTGCAGCATAAATGTACCATATAGTGGCCATACAATAGTGTTTAGACAAAAAATTATTCATCTGAGAGTTTTACATATCTATAGTACAATGGCTTCAAATTTTTTAAAAAGGAAAATGAATAAAAAGCAGAAGTAAACAACAGCATTTTAAGGAAAGAAAAATACTGAAGCAAAACAAGGTTAACTATTCATCACAGTAAAAAGACTAATACAGGAAGTAAAAATCTGACATACCAGAAGGGATCTCCAGCTTAAAATACTCCCTATGTAAGTTTCCATGAGTTTAACAAAGTAAAACGCACTTGTGAAAAAGCAGTTTTAAAAGAATTCTTGGTCGGCGCCGCAGCTCACTAGGCTAATCCTCCACCTGCGGCGCTGGCACCCCAGGTTCTAGTCCCGGTTGGAGCGCCAGATTCTGTCCCGGCTGCTCCTTTTCCAGTCCAGCTCTCTGCTGTGGCCTGGGAAGGCAGTGGAGGATGGCCCAAGTCTTTGGGCCCTGCACCTGCATGGGAGACCAGGAGGAAGCACCTGGCTCCTGGCTTTGGATCGGCGCAGCGCACCAGCTGCAGCAGCCATTTGAGGAGTGAACCAACAGAAGGAAGACCTTTCTCTCTGTCTCTCGCACTAATTTTGCCTGTCAAAAAAAAAAAAAAAAAAAAAAAAAACAAACAAACAAAAAAGAATTCTTGGGGCCAGCGCTGTGGCGTAGTGGGTAAAGCCACTGCCTGCAGTGTTGGCATCCCATATGGGTGCCGGTTCAAGTATCAGCTGCTCCACCTCTGATCCACCTCTCTGCTATGGTCTGGGAAAGCAGTAGAAGATGGCCCAAGTCCTTGGGCCCCTCCACCCGCATGGAGACCTGGAAGAAGCTCCTGGGTCCTGGCTTCGGATCGGCTCAGCTCCGGCCATTGCAGCCATTTGAGGAGTGAACCAGCAGATGGAAGATCTCTCTCTCTCTATCTTTCTCTGCCTCTGCCTCTCTGTAACTCTGCCTTTCAAATAAATAAATCAATCTTTAAAAACAGAGACCTATGTCAAGAATGATATTTCTAATTAAACATTTAAGGGCTTAAAATATCAAGAAATCAATAGTGCTTTATTGAATATATATTTTCAGGTGAATACAACATTTGTGTTTCTGGGTAAATAAAAATATAAATCAATTTAGTGACTAAACATATTGTTAACCTTGTGTTATGAAATCAACGAAGAATAGAATTGTAAACTAAATCATCTTTGAAATTCCTAATATATTATAAGCATTAAAAATATGTATTTTCGGGCCAGGCAATTGGCACAGAGGCTAAGATGCCAAAGGGGCCACCAGCATCCCATATTGGAGTGCCTGGATTGAAGTCCCAGCTCTGTGTCTGATTCCAAGTTCATGCTAATGTGCACCCTAGGAGGTATTTGATTTCAGTAAATAATACTCTATATGAGATATTTTAAATTAATTAATTTATTTACTTATTTCTTTAGTTATTTGAAAATCAGAGCATCAAAGAGAGAGGGAGACCCAGAGATAGAGAAGATCCACAGATTCACTCTCCAAGTTGATGGCAACAACCAGGGTTGGGCCAGGATGAAACCAGGAGTCAGGAACTTCATCCAGGTCTCCCATGTAGGTGACATGGGCCCAAGTACTTGGACCATATTCTTCTGCTTTTCCAAGTCCATTAGCAGGGAGATGGATCAGAAGTGGAGCAGCCAGGACTCCAACCAGCACTCATTTGGAATGCCAATATCATAAGCTGGAACTTAATCCACTGTGCTACAATTCACTCTATACACACTTCAAAAGTAAACATAAGTGAAATAATCAACTATCGAATATAAGACAGCTATGCTTATTTTGACAACATATAAGAAAGAAACTCATGTCAGCCATCTACTAAAGAAGAATATCATACTTCTTTTAGTTTTGATATTGTTACCAAAAGTAGAGGATTAGATGGTGAAATGGGGTATCAGATATCTTTTATCAGGGAACTATTACTTAATAAATACCAAATGTGAAGGTTATCTTGAGAAATGGAACAATGTTTCAAAACAAATCTAGACATAGTAAAAAGTCTAACAACTATAAGGGTGGGCATTGTGTCATGCCATATTGGGGTGCCAGCTGCAGTCCTGGCTGCTCTGCTTCAAATCCAGCTACCTGCTATTGCACCTTGGAAGGCGACAGAAATTGTCTCAAGTGCTTAGGCCCCTGTCACCCATGTGGTAGACCAGGATGGAGAGTCCCTGGATCCCTGTTCCAGCCTGCTCCAGATCTAGCTGCTGCAGTCATTTGAGGAGTGGACAAGAAAGCATATGATAGATCAGTGTGTGTGTGTGTGTGTGTGCACGCGCCCCTCTCTCTGTCACTCTACCTTTCAAATAAATAAATCAATAAATCTTTAAGATTAGACTGCCTATAATCCAGCTTTGCTGGTCATGCTGGATATACAAGTATATGGAGTCTAAAACCTTTTTGTTTCACCTTTCTTGCTTTAACTAAAGAAAAGAGATCAAATGACCATGAAAATCCAAAGTAAGAATAACGAAGGATATACTGGCAGACTAAATCAATCACAAAATAGCACCATGTCACATAGGCATATCTAAAGATCAAATTTAAACAACACTAAAAGATCTCTGCATAAAGAGCAGTCTCTACAATCCTACCATACTTTAAAAAAACTAAAAAGCCAATCACAAAAAAATACACAGGTGCCAACATAACAATGAAAAAGACAATCACAATAAGAAAAATTCTTACATACAATAATACTTCAGAATTTTGTGGAAAATAGAATTAATGGTTTATTTTGGTGAAAAAAAATTGAAATCCTTGCATAGTTTTTTTTCATAATATGTATTTTCCATTAAGTTTCTGAAGACCTCTCATATAAAAATATTTTCAAATGTAATTACTTTTTTTATTTGAACGGCAGAGTGACAGAGAAACACACAAAGATCTTCCATCTACTGGTTTACTCCCTAAATGCCCACCAACAGCCAGGCTGAAGCCAGGAGTCTTGAACTCCACCCAAGTCTCCCACATGGGTAGCAAAGACCAAGCACTTGAGCCATTATCCACCAACTCCCAGGACATTGATTCGCAGAAAACTAGATCCAAAGCAGAGCTAATACTCAATCCCAGGCACTCAATATGGCATGCAGGTGTCCTAAATGAAAGCATAACCCACTGTACCACAACGCCTACCCCAATATATTTAAATGTATATATATACACACACACACACAAATGGTTTGTTTCTTATCATCCATATAGTGTACTGATACATAGTAAATATCTTACCTATCATACACTAAAAGTGCATGGTGTTAAATCCACATAACCTAGGCCACAAACCAAATCAAATCCCTGAAAGTTACCCTAGGTCCTTTATTCTCCAAAACTTCAGACTCCACTTCTAAGCACTGAAATTGATACTTAAAGTAAATCACATCAGCATATATCACGATATATTTCTACTATCTTCCCACTAGAAACTGTACTTTACTTTCTATTAAAACTAAAATGTAGGCCGGCACTGCGGCTCAATAGGCTAATCCTCCGCCTGCAGTGCCAGCACCTCGGGTTCTAGTCCCGGTCAGGGCGCCAGATTCTGTCCCGGCTGCTCCTCTTCCAGTCCAGCTCTCTGCTGTGGCCCGGGAAGGCAGTGGAGGATGGCCCAAGTCTTTGGGCCCTGCACTCGCATGGGAGACCAGGAAAAGCACCTGGCTCCTGGCTTCGGATCACTGTAGCGGCCATTGGGGGTTAACCAACGGAAAAGGAAGACCTTTCTCTCTCTCTCTCTCTCTCTCTCACTGTCCACTCTGCCTGTCCAAAAAAAAAAAAAAAACCACTAAAATGTAAACATTTGACAATCACCCTATGTATATAAGTTTATGTAGCTCAGTATTTCCAAATTTGATCCCATTTCTACCCGGAAGTTGAAGAAAATCTTATTTACATACATCCAGTGGATTCTGTATTTAAGTAATCTAATAACTAAATGAAATATTTTATTTATTACACTTAAATGGGTAAATTTTGTAATTTTTATCTCAATAAAGCTATTTAAAAACTTCATGCATAACAATTTCTTATAGGAAAACCTGTCCTATATTTTGGATTGTAGTTGATTTATTAATAACTGGGTATGAGGCTCAGCACTGTGGTAAGCTTCTACTTACATTGCCCAAATCCCATAATAAAGTGCCAGTTTGAGTCCCAGCTGCTCTGCTTCTGATACAGCTCAGTGCTAATGAGCCTGGGAAGGCACTGGAGAATGTCCCAAACACTTGTGCCTGTGTCAAACACGTGAGGGACTAGGATAGAGTTCCTAGCTACTGGCTTCAGCCTGACCCAGCCCCAGCTGTTGCAGCCATTTAGGAGAGTGAACCAGTGGATGGAAAATTTTCTCTCTTTATCTCTCCCCCTCTCTCTGTCACTCTGCCTTTCAAATAAATAAAAATTTTAATTGAAAAATTTGTTTCCTATTACCAACTTATCTGAGTGTCTTCAAATGACAAGAATTTTCTTCTTTTCCTATTATTCACTTTCCTTATATGACAAAACTGTTGCTTAATAAATTAACATGAATATTTACCTGGCAAGAATCTGCTTCTCCCTCTTCCATTGGCTCATCAACCATTTTAACACCATTTACCTGAAAAACATTGTTCAACAGTTGAAATACAGGAATATTAAAACAACAGTAATAGCTAAGAAAAACATGACTCCAGACATTTATCTCCACAATCTAACAAGATCCACACTTACTGAAAAACAAAAAAAAAAAACAAAGGACATATAGAATGCACTTAGAAAAAGAACACTATTAATATGGTTCCCAGACTTCCTTAAGAATCCTTGATTTTCAGAGTTTATTTTTCATTGCATATTATTTAGAGCATTGCTATGGCAGACAACCACATACTGAGTATATGATCTATGTACTTTCATTAAATTTGTCTCCAACCAAATATTTATGACACATACACAAAAAATGCCACAGAAGACATCTTCCATGGGAATATGGTCAAAGCAAATTAGGATGGAAAGAACTTTACACTGTTGTGAATATTTCTCCCCTCATTCATTTCAATTAAATTTCATGAGATAATATACAGAAAAAAGAATAAACCACATGAAAGAGATTAAAATGGCCATGAACATAAAATTATTTCAACATACACAGCATAATACACTTCAATCACTATTTCAAGAAAAACAAAATGTATCTTTAGTCAAAGATCCACAAACCACAGCCTATGGGACAGATCTGGCCTCTCTATTTCTGTATAAAAAGTTTCTGGAATGTAGCCATACTCACTTGTTTTCATATTATTGATGGCTGCTTTCACACTAAAACAGCAGAGTTAGGCAGTGTGACAGAGATCCTATGCTTTCAAAACCTAAAATATTTACTATTTGTTCCTCTACAGAAAAATTTTTCAACCACTGATTAAAGGTGTTTGAAAATAAATCAATACCAAAATGGTCATTGGTCATTTTTAAGAATCCACAGAAAAGTATAAAGAGCTTCTAGTAACAGCCTAAATGGAATAAGCTCACTAAGCCTATCTCTCCCCTGATTACAAACTAAAAATTCCAGGTAGAACACAATCAATCAAACTAAAAACACCACCTGAGAATTCTAGAAACTTAACAGTACCAACTGGACTAAATAAAGAGAGAAAAAAAAATTGAAAAATAACTCAGATGAGTTTCCTGGGCTTTTTTCTGACCTTTATCTCCTGTATCTGACCTGAGGAGAGAATGAAACACAGAACTGCACTGTAGGCATGAATAAAAATTCCACAAGAAATCCCAGTTTCGGGGCTGGTACTGAGGCATAGTAGTTTAAGGCTCTGCCTGAGGCGCCAGCATCCCATATGGGTTCCTGTTTGTGTCCCGGCCACTCCTCTTCTGATACTGCTCCCCGCTGATGTACCTGGGAAAGCAGTGGAGGACAAGCCTAAGAGCTTGGGCCCCTGCACCCATGTGGAAGACCCTCATGAAGCTCCTGGCTCCTGGCTTCAGCCTGACCCAGCCCCAGGGGTAGCTGCCATATGAGGACTGAACCAGCGAATGGAAGACCTTCCTATCTCTCTCTCCCTTTCTCTGTCTGTAACCCTGCCTCTCAAATAAATAAATAAATCTTTATGGAAAAAAAAGAAAGAAATCCCAGTTTCTACAGAGGACCAAGAAAAGATGTACTTAAGGAGAACCCAAATTTTCTCTTCCTATCTCACTTTCTCCTTTTCAACTCTCAGTCCTACTCTAAGGCAAAGCTCGATGCAGAGGAAAATCCATCTCTGGCCAGTGGAAGCAGGAAAACAGTCTCCAATGATAAGAAAAGTACAAGGGTAATCCCTGTTTTTTTTTTTTTAATTCTTCTTCACTTCATCACTTCATCCTGAGGGCAACCCTAATAGTGCAAAGCTCTATGACATCAAGAAAGACCAAGACGCTGAAATAAACTAATTTCTGATCACAGGAACAGCTAAGTGGCCCCTGAGAACTGGAGAATATGGAAGAAATAACAGAATAAAATGAAAGAAGGGGATCTGTTAAGTTTATCAATGAATCCACAAAAGTCTTAGTCTCAACAACAAACTGCACATGTAGGGAACTAAAGAAGCATAACAAAGGCTTTGAGACATGAATGCAGTATCAACCACTACTCAAGTCTCAGACTAAATTACTAAATTAGCACATGCTCTGAGTGGCACATCCAGAGTGCTTACCCAAATGCTCTGAAAACTAAATTAACATTGGAAACATTACGCAGAAAGGGTAAGGCAGAACAGGGAAGTTTGAACTTAACCAAGTAGATTGCCTATTGAACCAAACAAACAAAAACAAGTATCAATTCCAGGCTGACTCCAATGTTGAAAGATCTGACAAACACTTTAAAGCAGCTATTATAAATACACTCTTCAGAAAAAAAATAAACACACTAGAACAGAATAAAAAAATTATCAGCAAAGAAACAGAAACTCTAAAAACAATAAAATGTAAAAGATTCTAGAACTAAAAATTATGTGAAAATTTTAATACTAGATAGATTCAATGAAAAAATGAAGATGGCAGGGGAAATAAACAGAACACAGATAAACAGAAATCACCTAATATGAAGATAGTGTAAATGAGTAAAAACAGAGTCTCAGAGACATGGGCAAATATCAGATAGTTAAAATTCTTATCATTAACATCCTAGAGGCTGGCGCCATGGCTCACTTGGTTAATCCTCCGCCTGCAGCGCCAGCATCCCATATGGGCGCCGGGTTCTAGTCCCGATTGCTCCTCTTCCAGTCCAGCTCTCTGCTGTGGCCTGGGAGGGCAGTGGAGGATGGCCCAAGTACTTGGGCCCCTGCACCCGCACGGGAGACCAGGAGGAGGCACCTGGCTCCTGGCTTCGGATCGGCGCAGCACCGGTTGTAGCAGCCATTTGGGGAGTAAACCAACGGAAGGAAGACCTTTCTGTCTCTCTCTCACTGTCTATAACTCTGTCAAATAAATTTTTAAAAAAAATAAAGAAAGAAAAAGAAAAAGAAATCCTAGAAACAAGAATTAAAAAAAAAATAAAGCAATTCCACTCAGATGAAAGGTCAAGAACTGGTAAATCTATAAAGACATAAACATTAGTGGTTTCTTAGGGCTAAAGTATAGGGAGATGAGGTTGACTGATAAAGGGTACAGGCTCCTTTTTACTGTGTTGAAAAACTTCTAAAATTGTGGTAATGGTTGTACATACTTGTAAATATGATAAAACACTAAAACATACATTTTGAATGGGTATATTTATATGTCAAGTGAATTATATCTCAATAAAGCTGTTTTTAGAAAAGAAACAATGGGCTGGCACTGTGGCACAGTGGGTTAAAGCCCCAGCCTGCAGGGCTGGCATCCCATGCAGGCGCTGGTTCGAGTCCCAGCTGCTCCCCTTCTTTGTTATGGCCTGGGAAAACAGTAGAAGATGGTCCAAGTGCTTGGGCCCCTGTACCCATGTGGGAGACCTGGAAGAACCTCCTGTCTCTTGACTTTGGATCAACACAGCTCTGGCCATTGCAGTCATTTGGGGAGTGAATCAGCAGATGGAAGATCTTTCTCTCTCTCTCTGGCTCTACCTCTCTCTGTAACTGTCTTTCAAATAAATAAAATAAATCTTTTTTTAAAAAAAATGGCTGAATTTCTGCCAAATTTAGTGAGAGATTTAAATTTACAGTTTCAAGAAGCTCGAAGCAGCTCGGTGAACCCCAAGCAGGATAAAATTAAGGAAAGCCACCTCAAAATATATCTTAAACTATTTTTAACCAAATGAAAAATGGGAACATTCCTAAAGAGAATGAGAGAAAAACAGCACATTACATAAAGGGGAACATCAAATTGAATGACTGCAGATTTCTCTTGAAAAATCATGGAGGCCAGAAAACAGCGGAAAACACCTCTCTGGGATAAATGGAAACATATTAACACATAACTGTGCACATGAATGCTAACAGCAGCTTTATTCATAAATGTCATAAAGTGGAAATGATCCATTTCATTCACCTAGTGAGTGGCTACTCATCAGTAAAAATGACAGAATTATTGCTTTTTCTAACAACATGGATGAATCTTAAAAGCATTTTAGTAACTGAAAGCCAAATACAAGAGGTTAAATTTTGCATGACTCCATCTACATGACATTCTGAAAAAGGAAGAACCACATGAAAAAAATTCAAGTCATTGGTTTTCAGGGGGTGAAGGTGGAGAGTGGGAAGGGTTGGGGTAGGGTAGAAGAAGGGGATTACTACACAGCAATAAAAACAATTATTGACACACACAACACGGATGATTTCAAATATATAATTGTAAATAAGCTAGATTCACAAGGCTACATACTATATGATTCCATATATATGAATTATGGAAAAGGTAAAACTCTAAAGGATGAAGAAGAGACTAGTGGTTGTTGGGGGATAGGACTCATGGAATAGCTTGACTACAAAAAGGCACTTCATAGGAACTGTGTGTGTTGAAGGTGATGAAACTATTCTTCTTGATTGAGATGATGTTTACACAATTCTTTGTATAATCTCAGAACTGTACATGATAAAGACTGAATTTAACTGTATGAAAATTTTTCAATCAACTTATTAAAAAGTAAATTACCATTATTTAACTAAAATTATTCTTCTAAAAAAAGGCCTAACGAACACCAAATAAAGTCACCAATTATGTCAACTTTGCTAACAAATCCATCAATCATTATCCATTATCCATTATTTTCTATTTGAGTATTTGGCTTCTGTGACATTTATTTTCTTTTATTCCAATTTCTTTGGAAGTTCTTTTTCGATATCCATGAAAAGCAGTAACTCATCAGAAAATGGACTAGGGTCACCTTCTCATCTCACCCCATGTTGTCTCCTCAGACAGTTAATTTACTGAAATGATTCCGTTTACTCAGAGACTACTCTTTCAAGCTCCCGATCCATATATTCAACTCCCCACTTGACATTTCCACTTGTTTATCTCAGATGTCTCAAAAATCTCTCAAAAATAACCAACACAGAAAGGATTTAGTAACCCTCTGTCCAAGTCTACTCTTCCTCCATGGTTATTAATTTCAATAAATGGCACCACCATATACCATCTTACCTCAAAAGAACAGGTAAA